GACAATGGCTCTTATGCATTTTCTCTTGGGCATATTCAGTAAACTTTTTTGGGTTCAGTCTCCAAATCAGGTTAAAACTCGAGCTCATCCAAGCCTCAAGTTTTTGAATTGCAAGCGGGCCCTTAGGCTCTTACGCATTGGGTCGATGCGACCTTTTATATGGGCTGGCGACAATGGCTCTTACGCCTTGGGTCGGTGCGACCTTTTATATGGGCTAACGATAATGGCTCTTACGCCTTGGGTCGATGCGAACTTTTATAAGGGCTGGCGACAATATCTATTATGCCTTAGGTCGATGCAACCTTTTATATGGGCTGGCGACAATGGCTCTTACGCCTTGGGTCGATGCGACCTTTTATATGGGCTGGCGACAATGGCTCTTACGCCTTGGGTCGATGCGACCTTTTATATGTGCTGGCAATAATGGCTCTTACACCTTGGGTCGATGCGACCTTTTATATGGGCTGGCGATAATGGCTTTTACGTCTTTGCTTTTTGGTATATTCAATAAACTATTTTGGGTTCAGTCTCCGAATCATTTTATGACTCGAGCTCGTTTGACCCTGAAGTTTTTGAAACTCAAGCTGGCTCTTAGGCTCTTACGCATTGGGTTGGTATGACTTTTCATGTGGGCTGGCGACAATGGCTCTTACGCCTTGGGTCGATGCAACCTTTTATGTAGGCTTTATTTTTCCCTCAAAAAGGATATTTTGAAATAGTGTTTGCCTGACTCTTCGACGATTTAATAAAAAAACATCGATTGTGAGTCATTATATGGCGATGATCGAGCACCTCGGAAGGTTTGGCTCGGAGGCTGAGTATCTCGAAGCCAGTTGTTTAGGAGCTGACGTAGTTGAAGCTCTTTTGCCTATGTCGAGGGTAGCCTGTTTTAACTGGTTCTTTCCGATGTATATTCAAAGTATTTGAAGGCCTATGATTTGTAGCGACGGTCGGGCATCCTCGAGTCGCGTTAGTTTGGCTGGTACAACCAAGTGATCGGAGTCATTTGTGTTTGGCCGGAGCCTTTAAGTCCCGAGTGAAGTAGTTTTAGCGTCTATATCGAGGGTATGTCTTTTTAGGGGTCTTACAAGTTCGATATATAGCCAAAACTTTGAGATTGGGTTTATGCCTTTAGTAAGGTCTTACAAGTTTTACATGCATTTGAGGTCTTACAGTTTTGGATACTTGGTACAAGTATGGTTCATGCCTTATATAGGTCTTATAAGACTGAGGCTGCCCGCATGTAGCCTTACGACCTCGGGTTTGGATAAGTTGATGGAAATGGTGATTGACGCCAGTCCCTGAGTCATCGAGGGTTTCTTGGCTCGGGAGCCATTACTTGTGAACTATTGAGCCCCTGTTTGGCGTATCTTGGCTTCTTCGAGTTGGTGACCTTCCGGGGGGATGCCCCCCAATATTTGAGGTTGATTGCAAAAGAAGCCTTGAATACTTGTTGGATCTTCCTTAGGTAGCATGTAGATGTTGCCTCGTTAAAAACCTTGCCGATAAAACTCTTTTTGGGATAAAATCAGGTTGAAGGAAAAGAGTGCAACGCATGCCTTAGCAGTAGTATCGTTTCAGCATCGATATGTTCCAATTGCTTGGAAGTTTCTCGCCTTCCATGGTGCCGAGCTTGTAGGACCCTTTGCCAATTACTCCGAGGATGCGGTACGGTCCTTCCCAATTCTGTCCTAGTCATTAGGGTTTCGGGTGTTGAGGGTGACTTTTCTTAGGACCAAGTCCTCGATTTTTAGATATTGAAGGTTTGTTCTCCTGTTGTAATATCTTTCGATCCTTTGCTTTTGGGTGGCCATTCAGACCAGCGAGGCTTCTCGCTTTTCATCTAATAGTTCGAAGGTCGTGGTCATAGCCTCGTTGTTCGAGCTCTCAGTGGTGTGTTGGAATCTGGCGCTTGGCTCCCCGACCTACACTGGTATCAGGGCCTCGACACCATATACTAGAGAGAAAGGCATTTCCCCTGTGCTTGACTTTGAAGTTGTTCGATATGCCCGTAACACTTCGGGCAATATTTCTCTCCATTTTCCTTTAGCGCTTTCCAACTTCTTTTTTAAGTTTTTGGATGATGGTTTTGTTTGTGGATTCGGCTTGGCCATTTGTGCATGGGTGGTAAGGCGTTGATAGGATTCTCTTGATTTTATGATCCTCAAGGAACTGTGTTACTTTGCTCCCGATGAACTGCCTACCATTATCGCATATTATCAAGGAAGGAATCCCGAATTGGCACATAATGTGATCCTAAATGAAGTCAATGACTTCTTTCTCTCTTATCTTCTCGAAGACATGCGCTTCAACCCATTTCGAGAAATAGTCAGTCATAAATAAAATGAATTTAGCTTTACCAGGCACCATTGGTAGGGGTCCGACGATGTCCATTCTCCATTTCATGAATGGCCATGGCGATAAGACCGAATGAAGCTGTTCGCCGGGTTGGTGAATCATAGGGGAAAATCTCTAGCACTTGTCGCACTTTCAAACGAATTCTTTAGTGTCCTTTTCCATGTTCTCCCAGTAGTAGCCTACCCTGATAATTTTTTGGACCAAGAAATTGGCACCGGAGTGATTTCCACAAGTACCCTCATGGATTTCTAGGAGTACATAGTCTGTGTCCCCCGACCCCAGACATACTGCTAGGGGGCCATCGAAGATCCTTCTGTATAAAGTCTCGCTTTCATTGAGTGAGAACCAGGCTACTTTGGTTCGCAGGGCCCTTGATTCCTTTGGGTCCGTGGGTAATTTTCTGTCTTTCAGATAGTCAATGTATTTATTTCTTTAATCCCATGTTAGGCTAGTGGAATTAATCTCGGCATGACCTTCCTCGACCACTGATTTGGAGAGCTGAATAACAACCCCGGGGAGTAGATCGCCTTCTTCAACAGACGATCCTAGGTTTGCAAGGGCATCAGGCTCGCTGTTCTGCTCACGAGGTATGTGGACCAGGGTCCATTCTTTGATACGACGTAATGTGATTTAGATTTTGTCCAAATACCTTTGCATCCTGTCTTCTCGAACCTCGTAGCTCCCATTTACCTGGTTTACTACCAGGAGTAAATCGCATTTCGCTTCGACGGACTCAGCTCCCAAGCCTTTAGCCAATTCTAGACCTGCAATCATAGCCTCATACTCGGCTTCATTGTTAGTCAATTTTTGCAGTTTTTATAGATTGCCTGATTATGCCACCCGTGGGCAGCTTTAGGACTATACCGATCCCAAATCCTCTTACATTTGTGGCACCATCGGTGAACAGGGTTCATACCCCGGAAGATGCACCTGATTTTAGCAAGAGTTCCTTTTCTACCTCGGGCACGAGGGAGGGTGAGAAGTTGGCCATGAAATCCGCTAGAATCTGGGACTTGATGGCTGTTTGGGGTTGATATTCGATATCATACCCCCCGAGTTCGATGGCCCATTTGTCCAATCGCCCCGATAGTTCGGGCTTATACAATATGCTTCGGAGAGGGTATGTTGTTAACACGTAGATACAATGGCATTAAAAATAAGGTTTTAGATTTTGTAATGCGCTTATCAATGCAAGAGCTAATTTTTCTAGGTGCGTATACCTAGTTTTGGCATCCCCGAGGGTCCGACTTACATAATAAACAAGATTGTGTACCTTGATCTTCTCAAACTAGCACGCCACTTACTGCTATTTTGGATACGGCTAGGTATAGATACAACGTCTCACCCTCTTTTGGCCTGTGGAGCAAAGGTGGACTAATCAGATATCTCTTCAGTTCCTCTAAGGTGTGTTGGCATTCTGGAGTCCACTCGAAGTTGTTTTTCTTTTTGAGTAAGGAGAAGAAATGGTGACTCCTGTCCGACGACCTTGATTTGAATCTGCCTAGAGCCGCTATTCGCCCGTCAGCCGTTGTATGGATTTTACATTATTCACCACCGTGATTTATTCGATGGCCTTTATTTTGTCGGGGTTGATCTCGATCCCTCTGTTTGATACCATGAAGCCTAAGAATTTCCCGAACCCACTCCAAAGGCACATTTCTCGGGGTTAAGCTTCATGTTGTAACTTCTGAGGATGTCGAATATTTCCTGCAAATGCGTCAAATGGTCCTCTGCGCGCACAGATTTAACTATCATGTCATCAATATAAACTTCCATGGATCTGCCTATTTGATACTCAAATATTTTATTAACTAGACGTTGGTACATGGCCCCTTCATTTTTCATCCCAAAGGGTATTACATTGTAATAGTAGGTACCATACTTTGTGATGAACGAAGTCTTTTTCCTATCCTCGGGGTTTATCTGAATTTGGTTATACCCCGAGTAGGCATCGAGAAAGGTGAGGGTCTCATGGCCGGCCGTAGCATAGATCAAATGGTCAATGTTAGGCAATGGGAAAGAATCCTTGGGGCACGCCTTATTTAAATCTTTATAATCTACGCATATTCTTAACTTGTTTCCCTTTTTGGGAACTACCACTACGTTGGCCAACCATTCGAGATACTTTACCTCTCTGATAGACCCTATTTTAAGGAGTTTCGATACCTCGTCTTTGATGAATGCGTATTTTACCTTAGACTGGGTTCTTCTTTTTTGCTTTACCGGTTTAAACCTGGGGTCGACACTCAATTGGTGGGTAGTTATTTCTGGCGGGATTCCTGTCATGTCTAAAAGGGACCAGGCAAAACAGGCGATGTTGTTAATTAGGAATTGAATGAGTTTTTTCCTGAGTTCGGGGGCTAACCCGGTTCCCAAGTATACCTTCCGATCCGGGAGATGCTCAATCAAAACAGCTTGCTCCAGTTCTTCAATTGTTGATTTTGTTGCATCCGACTCTTTGGGGGCGACGAAAGTTCGAGGGGCGAGGAAATCTTCTTCATCGTCCTCGGGGGTTTGTATGCTCCTAGGCTCACCCGAGGCAGAGTGTAAGGGGCTTGGTGCCTCCTGGTAAACTGCGAACATTTCTTTTGCCATATGTTGTTCACCATATATAGTTGTTATGCCATCTTTCGCTGGAAATTTTACCATCTGGTGCAGGGGCTTGGTGTCTCCTGGTAAACTACGAACATTTCTTTTTCCATATGTTGTTCACCATATATGGTTGTTATGCCATCTTTCGCTGGAAATATTATCATCTGGTGCAGAGTTGACAGCACTGCCCTCATGCCGTGTATCCACGGCCTGCCAAGCAATGCGTTGTACCTCATGTCACCAATGATGATGTGGAACTTGTTATTCTGAACTGTACCGAACACATCAACCGAGAGGACGATCTCTCCCTTTGTTATTTCACCGGCCATGTTGAAGCCGTGGAGGACCCGGGAGGCGGGCACGACTTGGTTGAGCAACCCGAGCTGTTCCACTATCTTTGACTTGATTACGTTGGCCGAGCTACCTGGATCCATGAGTACACGTTTAATTTGAACGTTGCTTAAGAGGAATGAAATTAACAGTACGTCATTGTGCGGTTCTGCCAAGGTCTCGAGGTCATCCTCGCTGAACGCGAGGGTGTCTTCGGTCATGCGGTCTCGGATCGGCCCCTCGATTGCATCGGACATTTTTGTCCGTTTGATCATGGGTCCTTGAGGAATATCGGTCCCTCCAATAATCATGTGAACGATATGCCGAGGAATCTCTCTTTTTGCCCAGGTTGGGTGTTTCCGAGTTTTTTGCTGAGTTTCTCGGCAAACTCCCTAGTGAACGCGAGGATCGGCGTTAATGCCTCGGGCGTCGCACGAGGTCGTATCCTTGAGAATCGGCTCCGGTATGTTCTCAGGATTTCGTGGTGGCATACCAGCGCCTGGAACATCTACACCATTTTCTTCGCGGTTCTCAAGATAGTTGTTTACTGAGTCAGACATTTTGACCTGAAATCAAAGGTCTTGGGCAAGAAAAAGTGTGAAAGATAACTTGCGTTATGTAGTTAAACCAACAAGAAAATAATCACTATTATTTTTAGCCCACGGTGGACGCCAAACTGTTTACCGTGAAAATGGTAATAACAATTAGATTTGATTTAGTTGTTCTAAAAATACGTGATCTATTTTTATGCTAGTAGTTAGGCAATTAATGCAACGTGAAAGACTTAGAAATGAAATAAGAGCTTAAGAACGAGGTGATAATCAAATAGAATCGCTGCCAATCGGGGCCTCGAGCTTGCCTATTCGATGGACTCAGGGTCGAGTCTGAAGCTTGGTTGGGAGCTATCGAAGGCGGTCGATGGAAAATAATAGTTATAAATAGATCAAGGGCGGCTCTTTATGGCCAATAACAAGCAATAAATGATGAACAATGATAGAATCACAATAAATACGAGCAACAAATGGAGTAATAAGATCGAAAGAATATTCTAGAGAGCAAAGAGAATGTTCTTGTATATTTAGTATGGAGCAACCGATCTTACAAAATGACAAGGATCCCCTTTATATAGAAGGAGGAATCCCAACATAGTACAAATACATTAATTACAAAGGTATGGGGATGGGCCAGCTAGTTGACACCATGATCCAGGTCTGAACTTAGCTTACTAGACTTCATTAGCCCTAGCTATGCGCCTTGGAAACTCCCCACCGTTCCATAATAGCCGTTGGTCTATATTGCCCCGAGGTCGAGTGTCGGTAGCCCTCGAGGGTGAGCCTCTACCCTTGTCTCGAACCTTGTGAAATATGCTTACGAACAATCATAATGACGGAAAATTGGACCCTCCGATTTTACTGTATACAAAGGTATAAGTTATATCGGTGCTAATTACCCCACCTTCTATAAGGTATAGGTTATCCCAATGTTAAAATTAACACCGGAATAACTTATACCTGGTTTACTAACAAAACAGAGTATTAAGGTGGTATTGAATTTTTATACTACCCTTATACCTTCTTAAACCTTATACCAAACGACCCCTAAAATATCGGATATCGATTAATCTGTTACCGATTCGATTATCGATTTACACCATAAGATAATTCAATTTAGAAAGAAGAAGCGCAGTATAATGTGTAACGATGCATAAAAATGAGAAATTTAAAACAGAACAGTTGGTGATCTTTAGACAATTATCACTTAGTGAAAAATGCACGTCTAATCTTACCATCTCTATTCTCGAAGTCAATAAAAATAAATACTAGAAAGAGTAATTAATAAATATTCAACAATCTTATCTTGCTATTATCTTAGTAGCGGGCGGACATAATTTATAGAAAATGGTAAAACCCTAATTTTCTAAATGATAAAGAATCAATACAACAAAAGAAACAAATAGATAAACTAAAATTTAAACAATTAATTCTTTAAAGTTTAAAACTAAAAATCTCAACAGAAGAATGAATATGAGATATTCGGAAAAAGTTTAAAACTTAAGCTAACGAGTAAAGCCTGAAGATGAGGAGTGACAATAGAGAGCAGGGCCAACGGAGGGTCAAGCCATTAAAGCAAAGCCTTTAGTCCCAGCATTTGTGGCCCCATTTTTTTCTATTAATAATGTAATTTTTATAGTTAATCTTTCTTAACAAATACTACTATTGACTATTGTATGGTAAAAATTACATAATCAAATTTTTATTAAAATAAAAAAAGAGAACCATTTAGCTATGTGATTGATGGTGACAGTTGAAAATTTTCATTATGATATTAATATTCTTTTCTTTTGTTTTTTTCCTCATAAGTAATAAAACTTGTATAGTGTATTTTCCCTTTTTCATTGTGTTTAGCTGTCTATTCTATAAAAAATAAGGATAAGGACATTTTAAATTAAATTGTGCATATTTATTCTTTCGTTGAAATTTTTAAACATTGGAACAGGCGAACTGAAGCAGTGAAATGCTGTAGTGATATCAAGTTATCAACTTAGGTAATATTATTCTAACTTTCTATTACCTTATAATCATACTTTACCTTTGATAAATTTTACTTATAGGTGTATATTGCTTTTTATTGAATATTAAAATTCAAATATATCAACTAGAAAATATAAATCAGATTACTTAAAACATACAGAAATAAATAAGAGAGGGGAAAAATTAAACTTAAATACAATCTAAAAAAAGAGCTATTTAAACAATGTCTTAAGCAAAACTAGATGAATTGTCAACTAGAAAATAAATATAAAGAGAATCAATTGTAAAGACTTATTACCAATTTTGCATCTTAAAAAAAAAGTAGAAAATGTACTTTAACTAAAACAAAGTAAGTACATATGTGAAAAGTTTTTTTCTTGTTGGTAAAAGAGCTTAAGGGCTCTTAGTAAGTTTTGCTTGAGACCACCAATTTGGTTGAGCCGCCTCCTACATAGAGAATGAGAGAACGAAGCCCTAAATTAGATTTATATACTTAAATATAATTTTGATAAAGCTTATTGTCGATTATACATGTTCACCCGTAAAATGGTATATTTGAATTTGTACGTGATTTATAGACAAGTAAATTAATTTGATCCCAAAATGATAAATAAATTAAACAAGAATGTAAGACTTAGTGTTGAAATAGAGACAAGACAGTATAAATCTTGATCCCGGGAGCAGAGCTTCCGGAGGCAGTAGTAACAATATTGATGAGCAAGAAGATGAAATATTATTGAGCTTTTGAACAGAGTATAGTATATGCTTGTTAGAAAATTCGTGTCCCTTACAATGGTTGTAGAGCTCATTATTTATAGTTGCACCTAGGGAACAAGGTCCTAGGATCAAGCCCCTCTTAAATGACAATTATGAGGGCTATTCTCTATAACGAACCATGTACTTAATGCTATAGAATATTCTCCATTAATTGCTATCGGGTGGCAGACATTTGTTTCGCCTTTACGAACACCATCTCCTTCGGAGACAAACGAGATCTGTAACGATCCGACTGGTCGTTTTGAGATCTAGCGCGTCGTTCAACAGTTTGAGGCCATGAGCAGCTTCACTTCAAGTATTATGACTTGTACGCAATCGGAATTGAATTCCGGGAAGTTCAGAGTTAATTTGGAAAGAGAATTCTCATTTCAGAAGCTTTAAGTTGAAAGAATTGGCTAAGGTTATATTTTTGAGTAAACGACCCCGGAATCGGGATTCGAAGGTTCCAGCAGGTTCATACGATGATTTCAGACTTGGGCGTATGTCCGGAGGAAGATCCGGGAACGTATCGGTGCCTATTGTGAAAGTTAGCATTTTTGGAAGAATCTCATAAGTTTGGATTGAAGTGCATTTCAGGGTTATCAATGTCCGTTTGAGATTCTGAGTCTGGGAATAGCTCCGTATGGTGATTCTGATATTGGGAGCACGATCGGAAGTGAATACGGAGGTCTGTGGGTCATTTTGAAATCATTTGGATAAAGATAGAAATATGAAGGTTTTGATAAGTTTGACTAGAAGTGGACTTTTTGATATCGGGGTCGAATTTCAATTCCGGAAGTTGGAGTAGGTCTGTAATGTCAAATATGACTTGTGCGCAAAATTTGAGGTCAATCGGACGTGATTTGATAGATTTAAACACCGAAAGTAGATATTTGAAATTTTAAAGTTCATTAAGCTTGAATTGGAGTGCGATTCATGATTTCGACATTGTTTGATGTGATTTGAGGCCTCGAGTGAGTTCGTATCATGTTTCGGGACATGTTGGTATAGTTGGTTAAGGTCCCGGGGGCCTCAGGTGGATTCCAGACTGTTAACGGATCAAATTTGGAGTTTGAAGAAGGGCTTCAGCAGCTGGTATCTGGTGTAACCGGACCTGCGGGGTTTTGACCGCAGGTGCGGCCAAAGGAGCGTAGATGTAGTTGAGAAGGGAGAAGGCTGGGACCGCAGATGTGGTCAAGTCGTCGCAGAAGCGGGACCGCACCTGCGAAAGAAGGATTGCAAAAGCGGAAATAGGAGGCCTGGGAAGGACTGCAGATGCGGTGGTGGGGCCGCACCTGCTGAAGAAGCGATCGTGTGACCGTAGGTGCGGAAGTGCTGGAGGCAGTAAGATCTTTAAAAATCGGGGGGGTTAGTCATTTTCCCCCATTTTCATTTGGTGTGGACGATTTTGGGGAGCTTCAAGTGGGGTTTTTCATCATCAACGACAAGGTAAGCTAACCCCACCTATCCTGAGTTAAATATATTAACTATGTGCGGATTTGAGCATGAAAATTTGGTAAAAACTTGGGGTTTGAGGGGAAACCTAGAAAATTCGTATTCTTGAAATTTGACAACGATTTAGGGTATGAAATTAAGAGAAAATCATATATTTGAGTTCGTAAGTTCATGGGTAAACTTTATCTTCGAAAAATTTCGGAATCCGGGCACGTGGGCCCGAGGGCAATTTTGTCAACTTTTCGATCGGGGTTAGGAATTGTTATAAATTGGATTGTAATGAGTAATTGAACATACATTAATAGATTTGCATAATTATTGGCTAGTTTTGGGAGCATTATGCATCGATTCGAGTCTTCGGAAGAGCGTGGAATGCCAGTTATGGATCTTCGGAGCGAGGTGAGTCTCTTTTCTAACCTTGTAAGAGGATATTGTCCCCATAGGTAAAATAATTGGTTATGTTCTCCTATTTGTGGGGGCTACGTACGCACGGGGTGACGAGAGTCCGTGCATAG